ACCAGAAACGCTGCAGACGAAGGACGAAACCACGTTGAGCCAAAAGACCAGAAGCGACTATAACGACCAAGTTCGAGACCAAGCGTATGCCAAGCATTCGAAACCAATATATCGACTGAGTGCGTTGACAAGAGCATGGGTGGACAATCCAGCTCTCGCCAAAGTTGACTGAAGTCGACGGAACCAAGCGGAGATGGTCGAAGGCGTGGGCTCAGGAAACAAAAAGAAAATCAAGAAAAGAGGAGTGTAGCATGCGTGTAGTATAGGAATAACCCTACACCGTATCGGTTGTTGACTGTGCGGCTAGTCGAGGAAGCGTACGGGTAACCGTACTCGGCGACCGGAACGTGAAACGGCAGTCTCGTTCGTATCGCGTGAGCCTGCAATCTCATCCGAGGTCAGAGGCGGCGTGGTCTGCTGATCTGGACGTGAGACTATCGTCTCGTCCGTAGACGGTGCAGATGACGCGTGCTGTTGACTGGGACGTGAGAGTGAGGTCTCAGTTGTATCTAGCGTGGGACCTGAAGAAGATTTAAGGATCCTGCTAGGTTTTATAGGTCTAGCATTGAATCTCAGGTTACCAGATAGGGCACTGTCATCGACGTGTGCTGGTTTGAGACGATCAATGCTGACGATCTCGACGCGTCCATATCGATCAACCTTGAAGGTCTTTTCGTGACGAGCGATCACGTGAAAAGGGCCTTCGTAAGGTTGTTGCCAAGGTTTGCGTACCGAATCTACTCGTACAAAAACATGTGAACAGGTAGATAACCCTCGAGAGAGAGAGCGACCTGTCGATGTTGTATTCGAGTTGACACCGGAGACAGCGTTCGCATAAATACAGACAGTCGATGGACGTAGTCTGATTTAGCGAAATTAGGTCTGCTCCGTGGTGTGAAGAATTCTCCGGGCAGACGCAATGTCGTGCCGTATACCATTTCAGCGGCGGAACATTGGATATCTGCCTTTAAGCTCGTTCTCCCCCCCTAAAAGAACGAGCGGTAAGGTTTCGTGCCAGTTGCCGTTTTCGTGTGCTCGTAGAACACTTTTAAGTTGGCAGTGAAACCGTTCAACCATTTGGTGCTGGGTGGTAGACGGATATGCTTATGCGTATGCATTACGTACCAAGCAGCCGGGTCAGCGAGGAGAATCGTTAATAGGGTAACATTTCTCGAATAAAGCGTGGAATTCATCATCACGCGAATAAAAAGTGACAAGAGTTCGGTACACATAAATGGGAGTCTATTATATTAATACTATTCTTATCGTTATCCGTCATGTCGAGTATATTATATATTAAATATGAAAATATACGACAGACGTGGATAGATAAATCATAGACCCACCGAATTGGCTTCTTTGGAAGATTTGACCAGAAGCTGAGGCGTGTTCCAAAATACTGGTCACCAATTGTATTCGAATTGGGATTACCAATTGTAGCGTGGCGTCGAGTCGAGATTAACTATGAACACCGCTACAAAGAATCACGTGCCAATTAGATCAGAAGGCGTAAGAAGGTCGTTCCAAATGACTCCATAAAATCCCCGAGAAGCCGAATACCAGAAGGCAATTAATGGACCAAGTCGAGTTATATTTGGCTGGCGATCTCGTGGCATCGAAAGGATACCGAGATCGTGCCAGGATACAAGCTTGGTTACAGAAGGTAACCGAATTCGCGCGAAGTTACAATTGAAGTATAAGTATAAGAATGGAAGCACAAAATAGCTGTCATTAGCACAGTCAAACAAAAGCACGTTAAAACAAACACTGGTACAGTTGGTTATAATAATAATTGTTTTTATTAAACCAGTCGTGTTCTCGTGATAAATGTGAGTCACTACAAATTGAACAAACGGAACATCTAAAGTTTAATACAGAGTTCATTTGAGAAGTTAACAGAACCAACGAGTTCAAGATCCTTTTTAATAACAACTGAGTCTTAGAATCCTACCAGAATAAGAGGATATCAACTAGAAATGGACTAAAGAAGCAATAATTTAATCATGCCAGGAGGTTCCTGGTGGAAAGAAGCATCAGTATAAAGAGCGGATCTCTGTAAGTAGCCTGAACAGGATTCAGAAAGGGAAAAATAAACGGATAAAAGTCCAGTTGACTGTACTGAAGCAAGCGACTGAAGAAGAGCATCAGGACCAACGAGATGAAATATTGATAAGGATTGGAAGAAAAAGCACAAAAAGGAAATAATGAAGAACTGTGTAACGCGGCCAAGAGGTTAGTAGGGAGATTTAGTTAAGTGAAGAGATCAGTCTGAAACATTACAAAATACTGATGACTGAGGTGAATTGGTGACTTGAGACATCTTTTGAACAGACTAATGTAGCCGTCCATTAAAGTAACACGCACACAAACCTCTCTATACTTTTACAGTTCATCAACAACAAAAAAGAGAGTAGCTAGACCATCAGGTATATCACGAATGGCAATGCAGCATACCAGTCAGCACATACGGAGGCACTCAAGTCAGATATATCGGTGACTGTACAGATTCTTCATGTTATTTTCGCAAAGAACAAGAAACAATAAACTGGAAAGAAGGGATACCACATCATGATGAAATGTAATCGAGATCTTAATGAGTATTGTTACTTGAGAGTTATTCAATTACTGTCAGTACTAGAGTGGATAGAAAAGCCTGGTGGAATGTTCTTTGAAACTACGGAGTGTATAAGATCTTCACCATCACACGGAATTTTCATAAAGAACTGGATTCTAAATTGATACATGCACAGAACACATGGATGAACTCCAAGTGAAAACTGCCGTCGAATAAGATTTCCAAATTTTACCTTTTCACTTTCTTCTGGTTATTGATTGGATTAGGAAGGCCTCGATATCTCAGGAACACTACAATATACAGTGGACACTTCAGGACAAACTAGATGATTCAAACTTCGTATATGACTTGGACCATCTATGTTAAACAACATTAAATGCTGGTAAAGACAGCTAATATAGCAATGGCTTTCACAGAAATAAAACTCAACATTCACAATGGAAAAAGATCCTAAAGTGCAAAATAGCAAGAACCAACCTAATTATATTTGATAGTGAAACTCTGAAAGAGCTGGGAACCTTTACGTGCCTGGGAGGCATAATAGATAAACAAGGAGCATTTGATACAGACGCGAATCGTGAAGACAGTGGGATCATTCCTATTATCGAAAAATATTTGGAAGTCTGAGCAATTGTAACTTAAGACTATAATCAGAATTTAAAAAGCTAACATTAAAACAACCTCATTATGCAGAACTCGTACGTAAAGAAATATCATCAACATCAATAAAATAGTACATGTATTAATAAGTAGCTGTTTACGCATGATACTCTAGATTCATTTTTTCAAAGCCATCATGTGGTGTTTGTAAGAACTAATGAGTCCTTTGTACTTGATGACTGCCTGATTTTGAATTCTAAAGACGTTTTTCCGTGCTCGTTTAGTTCATCTTGGTTATATTGTGTTATTTCTGGGATTCCTAATTCGTATAATAATTCAGATACTTCTAATTATCACATCGGCGTCGCGAGCAGGATCCAGTGATGGAACAGCTGGACATAAATTCAGATTTTGATACTTTTGAGGACTAGATGAAAAGGTTTGAAATCAGGCAGTCATCAAGTTCAAACAAATCACAAGTTCATACAAACATCACACATCAGCAATAATTTTCTGTGAGGAGTAACAAACCCACTACCATTTGCGTAAGTTAGAAAAATATGCTAGGGGTAGGAAACACTATACAGTGACCATTCGGTTGAATTACAAGACAAACCTTAGCTTAGTATCTTCAAAGAACACATGACTCAGGGAAGTGGAGGTGAACATAAGAACTACGAATAGGACCTGGGAACAACTGGGAAAGAAAGCTCAGGACAGAGTTGTTTACAGATTTTTTATTGCTAAGCTTCGCTTCAAAATCAGTCAGAATTTTAAGTGATTGATAAGCAAGGAATTTCATAGTTTGAACATTTAAAAGTACTTTATATAGCCAAACCAATTGTAGTACTTCGTCATTTAAATGTACTACACTGAATTCTTTAAGCCACTAAGAGACTGATAGAAATACTGTTAGAACTTGAGTTTATATTAGAAAAGTTGTCGATGGTGAGAGTCATCACTTTAAGCTATAAATCTTAACATTAAAAATTGCAGTTACAGACCAGGCTGTTATAAATAAACCCATTCTAAGTATATATGGCTTTACGACTAGACCACAAACAAACACCGCATAAGTTACTATTATTAACATTTCAGCTAAAAGTTTATTTAAAATGCTTAAAAATTTAATTTCTTTTGTATTTCTTAGATTCGACTCATTTACCTCCTCAAAATAAGATTATTAATTAATGGATACGTTTTGGTATATTAAGTTTTTTTCTGGTAAGCGTTTTCTTAGTGAGTTAGTTTTCTACAGGGTGAGGTCGCTAATCCCATGCCCAACCCTCCTCTTTTATCCTGGCTTGGAGCCGGCAGTAGCCCTAGAGGGGCTCCAGGTGGAGGACTTACCTACGTCAGAAGGCAAACTTTCACATGAAATCCTCAAGGCCAAAGAAAAAGAGGAAAACCAAAGAACACATTATGCCGAGAAATGGAGACAGACGTTTAAAGAATCAACAAAAATTGGATAGAACTAAAAAGCAAGGCTCAGGACAAAGTGGGTTGGGATAATGTTGGTCGGAGTAAAGGGCGTAAGTAAGTAAGTTTTTTATTATCAAGTCATCAACATCATGGAATACATACTGCCATGTTTTTAAAATATTTTACGGTTTCAACCATCAAAATCAATATTGATTAATAAAAAAAGGTACATTTTTCAGTTATTCATAAAAGTGTATTGAAACGATACTAAATTTGAAAATTCATTCAAATAAATAAAAAAGTACTAAAAATGTAGTTTATATTGTCATTCACTAAAATATACTTATTGAATATGAAATTTAGTTAAATGATAATAATTATTATGCCAAAAAAGAAGTTATATTTACAAATATTCTGAAACAAATCCAATAAATTCTTCATAATTTAATCTTTCATCTTTATTTTTATCATATTTATCAACCCATTGTTCAACTTGTATAGGAAATATAAAATTACAATCATTTTTCATGTAATTTTTTATTTCTTCTTTTGAAATAGTTCCATCTTTATTTCGATCCATTTCACGAAATATTTTCCTTAATGCAGCACATCTTGAAATAGATGTTGTAATGTATTGAAAGAAACATAATGACAAAGTAATAAATAGATATTGTTTGAATGAAATGAGATTAACATCCAGTGCTTCTAGCTTTATCATGATAGTCTAGTTTCAATCGATTCATGATCTTAACTATTAAAATTATTTTCTTCAAATTAAATCTTTTTAATAAAAGTGTATTCTAGGTCGGATATTATAGAATTAGGTTAAGTGTTCCCGCGCGAGACTGAAGGCCCTGGGTTTGAATCCCGCAAGCGGGATTGTGGATGTGCGCTGTTGAGGAGTACCACAACAGGACGAAACAGCCGTCCAGTGTTTCTAGGTTTTCAATGATGGTCTAACATCAATCGGTTCATGATCTTAACCGAAAACTTAATAGTCTCCACAACCCCTATACTGATAACTGATTGAAACTTTGCAAATTAGGTATTTACTGTATGATTCTCAGATTGTACTAAGATGTTTTGTAATTTTATGTTTTCAAATCCATTCGATTGTCCCCACTTGAGTCCTTATTTATTTCATGATCAATTCCTTCTTAATCTTATGACGTGATTATAGTATTAATGCTCTGTTATGCTAGCGGGATAAAAAACTGCCCAGTTAAACAATATAAAACAGATACCCAACTTGCTATGTAATTAAACTTGTATCCTTTCAGTTCAGTTAATTATAAATAACTTTTAGAGTACAGGAAATACCAATATCGACAAATGACTTGTTCAGTACAAAAAAATAAATCTTTTTAAAAAAAACTCACGATACATCAGATTGTGAAAGTTTCTTATTTGTAGCTTTCATGAATTCATTTTTAGATATTTTCCCATCTTTATTTTCATCATACAGTTTGATAACTTCCTTTACAGAAAAAATTTCACGAAGAAGTACAAAAAGAAGGTTCATAAATGAAAAATTAACCAATCTAAACAAACATTATTAAAAGCTGACAAATAAAAGAGAGCTACATATACAATAATATACATATAACATTTATTAAAATTATAAAATTGCGTAATAAGAAGTGTCCAGATAAATACACCGTGAAGCGTATATTTGAGAAAAAATGGGTGGGAGGATGTGAAACAAACGAACAAAAAATATGGAAAAAAATAAACAAATTCATTTATTAAGTTCCAATAGTTGTGATCATGAGTCAATTGAAGCTAGATCACCATGGACAATCTCGAAGCACTGGAAGGCCGTTACGTTCTTCTGTGGGACTCCTCAGTAGTGCGCATCCACGATCCCGCCCCCCGCGAGATTTGAACCCAGGACCTATCAGTTTCGCGTGAGAGTGCTTAACCATTAGACCACTGAGACAGGATCCAACGGTGTTAATGTCTAACTTCAACTAATCCACGAAATTGAGTTATACATCCACCATTGTTATCAGTGAGTTGCTATCTCACAACTGATCCGGTTAAACTCCATTGGTCACTGCTTCTCACTAGAACTCCAGGATATACATCTTGAAGCCAATCATTAATGGGCATATGTTGATCAGTATCAGAAGGGGTTATTTTGTGGAGATTGTAGTAATTTCAATAGTTGTGATCATGAGTCAATTGAAGCTAAAGCACCATGGAAAACCTGGAAGCACTTATTAAGGCGAAAGGAGAGATAAGATTGTTACGAATTTCGTATAAACACAAAGACTTGGATTGTTGGCTTGAATTCTTATAGCTTCTGCTATGTGCAAGAGACGAGCTTGAACACCATAAGGAAAACCAGTAGGAATACGATAAATAACTTCAAATGACTGATAAACTACCTTGATTAGTTTAATAATTTCATATATACATATAAATATTACTGTATATTAGCATAAAGCGTGATGAGGATCTAATCGAAAACAATATTGTTCACTTATATTTATATATATTGTTCTAAAACCCTTTATCACATTTTATAAAGAGAAAAAAGAAAACGAGAAAAAGGATAACGATTTTGTTGTTGTTGTGCTCATTAATTTTTAAAAAAATACCAATCAAACAAATAGAATGTTCCTTTGTTTTTCTTTTTCTTTTCTTCTTTTTTTCTATGGATGTCAAAAAATTCGTTACAATTATTAACTGAAACAATTATGTACTTCTTTTTAATTGTTTCTTTTCGTTTGTTTTTTTTCTTTTGATGAATATATTTTGATTATCACGTTTATTCATTATCTTTCCACATGATATATATATATACAAATCGTCAGAAGAATAAAACAACTTTACGATGTAAATTATAAATTTTTCAAGTTTGAATTATGAAATGAATAGAGAAAAACAAACTAGAAAGATTAATTGGTAATTATGATGAGATTGTTAAGGTTTAGATTAGGATCATGAATCGATTGATGCTAGACCATTATTAGGAGAAATGGAAGCCCTGAATGAAGGTTTTGTTCTAGTATGGAATACAGGATTTCAATGAACAACAAAAAAAACTTACCATCTTTATAACCTAATAATGATAATTATCATGTACTTATTAGTGACTAGCTTTGTGAGGGTATTATCGAAGTTCTAGTGAGAAACCGTGACCAGTGGAGATAATCCATGTCAGGGAGAGACAGGTATGTACCTCAGACAATGGAAGATGGTCGTGCAATATCGTAGATTGGTTGAAGTTAGATATTAACACCATTGGATACCCACTCAGTGGTCTACAGGTTAGACGTTCGCACGCGAAACTAAAGGTAGTGGGTTCGGACTCCGCTAGCGGGATCGTGGATGTGCACTACTTACGAGTCCCATACTAGGACAGAACGGCCTTCCATTGCTTTCCGGTTTTCAATGGTGGTCTAACAATAATCGGTTCATGATGTCAATGAAGAAAATATAAATTAAGTTGAACTATTAAGAATTCAAGGTGTACAACTAAAGTGTAATTTCAAACAAAATTTACTTTCGAATTCTGTGTATTATATTTAGGATTGCAAACAGTCATTTATAATATTAGAAATGTTATTATTAATTAAATATCATAATATATATAAATGATAGTAACCAATTTAACTCGTCAGGAATTATCTGCTTTGATGAATGAGTGTGATGTTTGTAGTCAACAGAATTAATAAGAAGCCTATCATATTTATTCAATGTCGTTTTTTCAACTGCATTTATTAGCTGCATAAAGTTATATGCTTAAGTCAGCAAACGAAATCCATGCTTTCTGACAAAATAAATCTAGACTCAAGATAATTTTTTCAACATCTACTATCCCTTTAATATTATAGCACTTCTAGTCCCATTTATATGTATTCTGGTTGAAGCTTTTGATTTACACAGATCGATTCGATAACAATTTTTATAGAGGTATTTGTGAAATTTCAGTATTATTTGAACGTAAATCAATAATTAGAAAGAATTAATATGCAATTTGTGGATTGTATTCATCACCGAGTGCTATCACTTGAGGTGATATGTAGAATCAGGGAGCTGTGAATGGTTATTTCATTTCAGTATGGGATCAATCAGTAGTGTGCATCCCTCATGACCTATGGAGGTGGAAGCAATTATTGATATCAACACAGGATGTCTACTATAAACCTCATGATGAGTAATTTGAATGAGAATCAACGGTTAAAATCAATGTAACGTGATTCTAAAAAATTGAACGTATATTAGACTAGCAGATGTTTTCGCTAATTATAGAAGGTTTTCAGGATATGTAATGAAAGTCTTCAGAAGGAGGATTTCAAGAATAACAGAAATCGAAAGGTGTTCCTAAGTTCATAAAATGTATTAATTCAGGGAAAAGATTAATTATGAAGAGGTAAAAAAAAACAATGATTTTCTAAATACTTACTTCAGCTTTACTTTTAGGAAAACCAAAACTTTCCAAACAACTAATAATTTCAGCTCTACTTAGAAATCCATCAGAATTTTTATCAATACTGTCGAATTCTTTTTCAAGTATATACATTATAGCCATTCTGTTAAAAAAATGGTAGTTATTCAAGAAGAAACATCAACATGGCACTCACAATACAATAGTGTTTTAGATTGTTTTAAAAATCGGTATATTGTTTAATCATTAAAAAATCTATTTCAGTAGTTCCTGTCATTTTTTTCATATACAAAGGTATTCCATATGGTATATTACTTGGATTTCTTAATTGTTGGTACTTTTTCGCACAACATTATTCATTTAACTTGACTTAGTCGAAAAACAAGGAAAAATATAGTGAAAGAACTTTACACTAGTGCTTCTTAGTTGTTTAATTAGTTCTCTAAAAGCACGATAAAGCATAACTTTGTAGATTATTTCCTAGTTTACTAGATAATTTTCCAAAAAAGAATCATAAACGCATTTCGGAATAACAAAAACCTATGCCCCCAAACATTTCCAAATGGTATTAGAGGTGTGAAAACGATTATCATATTGTGGTTGCCTACACCATGGATGGATAATTATTCTTGAGGGACCTGATAAGGAAACTGAGTTTGTGGAAGTCTTGAAGACTTATGAGAAATTAGGATTCATACCAAAAATAAAACACAAATATTGTTTTAGGAATCATGAAACAAACTGATGATTTACTATACCAAATCGGAATTTCTTCTTTCAACAGCAAAGATCTTTTGGATTAGACTCCTGTAATATCAATCACATGATTGATTATTAGACTGCAGAAAAGTTAAATGTAGTTTGGAATTAATGTTAAGAAAATCCTTATTCTAATTATTTCTTTCATAAATTTCTATATTTTAGAAGTATTATGTTCCATACAAATTTTCAAACTATTCAGCTCAACTTTGTTAAATAGACTCGGGATATTGGTTAGTAACAATTTCCACAGTGTAATCAATAAATTTTCACTACAATTGAAACGCAAGAATACAAGTTCATGAGATCGAACATTGATTTTGTCTCCATGTTTTCTCTCATCTTTTAAAGCCCGATCAAAAATTATTTTCAACCAAATCAAGTTTTTTTTAATTGCACAAATTAATGAAACAATGAATTATTAGGAATACTGACAATTAACTTAGAACAGAGATCAAATTAAGATTATATAATCCGTTATAGTCATTTCATATTTTAACTGTATGGGACTCCTCAGAAGTGTACATCCACGATCCCATACGCTGGATTCGAATGTATGTCAGTTGCTCTCCAAAGACAATGTAATCTTACAGAAAGTATGAGACTAATAACTAGTCCATTTAAGCTAGAAATATTAGCTGTACATAGTCTACTTTTATTTCAACACTCTTCGTAAACTGCTTATTTTTATTAATAGATATATTTTAATATTTGATCAAAATGTTTAATCATCTAGTTAGATTTTACCATCAATGAATAGTAGATAATGAATATAATCTAAGTTTTAGAATCTATATAAACATTTCTGAGAGATGTACATTGATAAAAGATGATAATCACTACTGTGGTGTGTGCTACTGATGTCGACAGATATAAGTAGTATGAGTCATCAATCGAAAGTGAAAGGTCGAGTGGCAGAAGGCTAAGAAGATTGAAAAGAAAAGAGCGAGAATAGGGAATGATTGATGTAAAAACGAAGGAACAATAAAGTCTGAGACAATTGATTGACATTTCGCAAATGAAGTATTTACTATATGATTCTTAGAATTTAATAAAAGATTCTGTAATTTTGCATTAAAGTACATTTAATTGTCCCAGCATGTGTTCTTGTTCACTACAGTACCTTGGTTAATTATTATCAACTTTTTAGCAAACTAACTGCATTTTAACAATGTTCATGTACAAGGTAGAATTTCCAATATAATAAATTATCCTTTGCTAATACATTAGAATGACATAATTATCAAATTTATTAGAAACCAAAAATCTTTAGTTAACTCACTTAGTAATATGGTGATATGAATATAGTTGATTTTAATGAAATCGAATGAATAAATTCTAGATGAATCAATCAGCTTATAAACCGTGTATATTGTGATTACACACACACACACACACATAAGCATATGTATCCATGACAGCAAAACAATAAAAAAATGCTTACAATTCTTAAAACAAAAATCTGTTACATTATACAAAATTCAATCAATAAACATTGAAGTAAAGATAATGATTGTTGTGTATACAAAGAAAAAATGAAATCAAATGAATGCCAACAAATGATAGATTTTATTGAAATTTTTGGTTGTCTAGGTGCATGTTTATATGTAAAAATATCAACGAAGAATGTAACGATAGAAAAGTTAAACAATTTATTTTTATCAGTAGGGGGTTGTGAAAGTTTTTTTTTTACCTCCGGTTGATATCATGAACGAATCAATGTTAGACCACCATTTAAAGCATGGAGGCACTAGACAGCCATTTCGTTCTAGTATAGGACTTTTCAAAAGTGCGAATCCACGATCCCACACATGAGACTCAGACCCTGGATCTACAGTCTTTTGAGCGAACGCCTAACCTATAGACTACTGAGCGAGCATCCAATGGTGTTAATATCTAACTCCAACTAGTCTACGATATTGAGCGAACGTTCTCGATTGTCTTCAGTGAGTAATTGCCTCATATTCGAATTCCGCGTGCAGGATTGTGGATGCGCACTTCTAAGGAGTCCTATAGTAGAACGAAACGACTGTCCAATTCTTCCAGGTTTTCAATGCTGGTCTAACATTGATCCATTCATGATATCAATTTAAAACTATTTTTATACATTTTCAATAAATGAAAAAAAGTATTTTTCATTTTAATGTTTTACGTAAACTATCTAGTATTTTAAGATTTTTGAAGCATACTGTTACGAATTCCAAACTAACAACAACAGAACTATTCAATAGAATTTGATTTAATGAAAGTCTTTCAAGTGATATCTGTTTTTTATGTAGATTTTTATAGATCTATGGAAAAAAGAAGCTACTAAAATTTTATACAAATCTAGTTGAAAAATAGTGGATGTGTATCTTGTCATTCCAGTATTTACAAGAATCTCCCCTTTTTTAAAGTTAATACTTTTAAGCATGCTTATATATATATATATATATATATATATATATATATATATATATATATATATATATATATATATATATATATATTGCGAAAGCAATGCCTCAAATTGGTAAATATTAACTGATTATATGTTTATTTCTCTGATAATCAACTCATCTTTCATCTTCCTTAAAGTCTTAATTAGCATCTATTCCGTTTTTTTCAGTTGTGTCTTTTTGAACAGTTGCTTTAGAGAATTTGACAGGATCGGATAATATCGAAGATAATTTGGTAACATATTCAAAACACTTCATAAGGACAATTCCTGAACCCTTGTCTGGGCGATATAACACTAAGTCCTTTCTTTTTTTGAATATAATTGAGAACGCCTCATCAGATAGAATTATCAAAGTTAAATTTATGTTTAGTAGATAATTTCTGAATAAATTAATTGATGTGAACAGAGAAACAAGAATCCTTGACAAACTACGAAAGCTATTTTTCGGGACTTATTTCAGTTAATTCAAAGCTTGTAAAACATTAACATATATTTTTGTCCCTAATCTATTCTACAGAACTTAAGCTTTCGTTTGATGTATGATTCACTGATCTAGCCCTTTTTGTTCCAAAGCTATTGTAATTTAAACGCATTATTTTGTACTCTATTTTCTACGCTAATCCCCAGTTTTGGACATAGTTGTATTTTCCTAATTATTGTACGTTATGTTCGGGTTAGTCATTTATTTATTCATGTATGTTCTTACACCGATCTGGAAATCGGGACCCAGATCGGAATTGGGAATAAATCGAGTAGTGTTCTAGTTGACTTGTCTTCTCTCACTCTCGTGCTTGTCAGACAATCAGGTGATAGAATAGTTTTCTTCTCTCTACCCCACTTCGAACTCACGCGTACTAGCCTCAAAGTTAAGCCGGTCAGCCTATCGCGTCAAGGTCTTAATCTAGTACGTTAGACAAGTTAACCTCAGCAACAAAAGTGGGTAGACAGATCAAGGACGTAACATTAATTATTATGCCAGATAAATTGTTTATACATAACTCTTGTTAATTAAATGCAACCTTAAGAGTATATCAAGGATAGTGTGATGACAAAAATTGTACTTATTCAAACAAATATTTAACAAATCGTCCAATCATGTTAAGCTTTATTGATAAAATGAATTGTATGTTGAACACAAGATAAGTATTCTCCATTGAATAATCTTTAAATATGAATAAAATAGATAAATCTACTAATAAGATAACAAACCATCTGTGTTAGTTTAATTAAAGTGAATAATATACTGATTTACAGCCTAAAATAAACAGTTTGTACAGTAGAAAAGCTTAAAAATTAACCATTGCAATAACATTGATTGTATTATGGGAAACTGATGACTAAGAATGTTTCATTTCTTTTATAAGAAAACAATATTAACACAGTCATAAATAATAACAGACCAAAAGATAAACTATTAATTCAGTGTAAATCATAATAGTTTTACTCTCTTAATACGTTTGACTAATTTAAATATTTGGGTTGGAATTGGGTTCAGTCAGTCAGTTATCTACAACGTAGGAGCAGGCACATATATGCATCAGTCCAAGTTACCATACCTCATTAGCACAACAAGATGAACACCAAAATCATAGATGTTAATTCAATGGTGTAAGTATATATTAAAAAAGATTGCATATAGGTATATGATGTAGGGAAAAATAATAAGCTCATAGAAAGAAAGGTATAAAGCAATTTTAATCTCTTAGTTTAAGGGAAGATGGAGATCGATCCTGAACCATGTCACCAAGAGTCTCCAACCATTGGTTACGATAGTCACGCGGACCCCAACCAAGTAGTCTGCATCTCCCAACATGGCTCAGATCAGAAGTTAGTGGCTTTGTGGACTGATGCTACGTTTTGGTTTGGCTGCCACTAAATTTATTTCATCCTTCTCCAACACTATTCAGCATTGCTCGTCGTGGTAATCGGTGTTCGGGCATACGTA